AAGAGAGTGTTCGGATTTACTTAACCCTAGTTCAGAGGACATGATACTTTGAAATATCCAAAGGAAAATCAAACTTTTCAAAGCAGGTGTTCTAGCGTTTCTGTTCTGAAAAGGTCGATCAGCTTGCACTCCTCGGTGAATGAATTGCTTTCAGATATCTGTCATATTTGAATACACAAACACATAGATATATATATATATACATATATATACATATGTATATTTACATTCTTTATCTCTCTCTATTATATATAAACATATATATATATGTATATATACATATCTATATGTGTATGCATATAGAGAGTTTATATAGATAGATAGATAGATAGATAGACATAAAATAGATAGATATACATGCATGTCTATATATAATATATATACATATTTATATGTTTGTGTATGTTATATATGTGTATATATATTTCATATATACATATACATGTATATATGTACACGCGTATATATATTATATATATATATATATATATATATATATATATATATATATATATATATATATATTATATATGTGTGTGTGTGTGTTTGTGTGTGTGTGTGTGTGTGTGTGTGTGTGTGTGTGTGTGTGTGTGTGTGTGTGTGTGTGTTTTGTGTGCTTGTGTGTATATATATAGTCATCTATTTATGAATATACATATATTTACATATATACATATATGTCTTTATGTATGCATAATATGTATATGTGTGTTATTTATGTATGTATGTATTTTTTTATATATATTTGTATATATTTATACAAATATATATTGTGTATGTGTATCTGAGTGTGTTCAAGTGCGTATGTCTGTAAAATATAGATATATAGATACATATAAATATATTTCCCTATTTCCCACTAATTTGATTATATGTGGTGGTATATCATTATGATAAAGTGCATCCTCATATCAGAGGGATAAGCGATAAACAAAGTATATTAACAATTTGAGCAAAAGGAAGATTTGGAAGATTTTATACCAGAGCAAAAAACGGATTCTCTTCGTTCACAGGACTGCAGAGATTGGCAATTGACTCCCCATTTAGAACGAGTTCATTTCCGCCTTTGCTTTACGCCTCTAATGGTATAAATTAACAAAAAACAAAACAATAAAAAAAATCCACATCAACCGTTCTTCACCTGTTGGCTGAGGATAACATTTTAAGTTCTACAAAATAATATACTACTCTTATAAAGACTGAAAGTACAGTTCTAATGGCTGTCCCTTTTCGGGTGCGTGAACCCCTGCTTGTCGAAGGCCACGCACAGGAGCCGTATATAAAGCGGCTTCCACAAGCAGTCAGCAGACACAGCGTCCTCGGTGAGCCAAGAAGAGGTCCAGCCATGAAGCTTTCGGTGAGTCGCCATACCTGTGAAAGAACGAAGAATTCTCTCTCTCTCTCTCTCTTTCCTTTAACTCCCTATCCCTCTCCCTCCCCTTCCTTCTCCTTTTCTTTCTCCCTCTGTATGTATATATGATTTATAGATAGGTAAATAGACTCTACTGACATAAATATGTATATAGATAAATTATATACATATATATGAATATATATTACTGGCAAAATAAAATTCACTGATTAGCATTAACATACCGAAAAGTATTCATAAAATTTCTCTCACGGACAGTTCCATGATTTTCATTGCAGCGTAAAATAATAAATAAATAAACTATTCCAGGCAATCGTACTGGTGTGTTTGGCAGCGGCCGTGGTAACACACGCCGATCCCGAGCCACACAAGTACCACCACTACCCCTACCACTACTACTACCCTCGCCACCACAATGTCGAGCCACTGGAGGGCGATGGAGTGGCCAGGCATCCAGGTGGCGGCACCTCCTTCGTGGCTCCTCAAGTTCACGGCCTCACAAAGCGCTCAGCTGACCCCACGCCGGAAGCTGACCCTCAACCAGCAGCTGACCCTGATCCATCCAACAGCTATAGTTACCAGGTAGTCCACCATGGCCATCCTCGCTATGGATACCACCATGGCTATCGCTACCCTTACAATAACTACCGCTACAACCACTACTATGGTTACCCTCACACATACCACAGCCACCACAAGAGATCAGTCGAATCGGAACCCGAACCTCAACCTCATTACAGCTATCACGGACGCCCTCACTACTACAACAGATACTATCACGGTTACCCCCACTACTATCCTTACTACGCCGGTTACCGCTACCGCTACAGGGGATAAGGAAGGGGTCAGGCATGGATTACGACAGGCCTTGTGGCGATGGTCCTTCACCAGATGTGTCTGATAGTCCGGTTTGCTCACGCCGGTTTTTCAGGCACAGACCCCTTCGAAAGGAACCACAACTGGTGGTCTTTAGGATGTTGGATCACCTGATACTTGCAAATAATAAAGGTTGGAAAAGTATTGGCAAGTCTTTTACTCCCTGTAATATTTCAAATAATTTTCAAAGACCCTTGAAACATTTGAATTTAAAAGATGCTGTTATGATTAGGAATTGCTTTTGACAAAGATTCAGGATTCTTGTAAGATTAGAAAGTGATCGAAACTAAATTCATATTCATACAGAAATTCTACACAAAACGTTGATTTTCGAAGCTGATATGAGGTACCTTTTTAAAATTGTAATCTAGCAAGGGAATAAAAATGCTAATGCCGAAATTTTCAGTTTCAAAACAACAGCAGGAGATATTGAAAATGGC